TCTCTCTCTCTCGCTCTCTCTCTCTCAATCTCTCTCTCTCTCTCTCAATATCTCTCTCCCTCTCTCTCTCTCTTCCTCGATCTCTCCCTCGTTATAAAAAGCATTATTAATTAGCTATGATAAGCTATACTCTCTGGACAGAAATAATAGGCCTGGACCTTTCGAACATATAAGAAGCCTAATTGTTGACCCCATTACGCTATCCTTTTAATAGATCTAGTTTTAAAAAATAACTTACTGAAGGGATGCAAACCGGGAGATAAACGTTTTCATGAATATGGGTCTTTTACAATTCAATTCATTTTTGTTCAATAATGTTGATTTGATACTGTTTGAAAAATTACAATTGAATAAATTGAAGTTGGTCAACATACTGCATTTTACAATATTCTGTGTGGATGTTTTTTTTATCTAATCTGTCGATCTGTATGTATATATAGGCCCTACATGTGGTTTGTTTATTTTTTTATTTATTTTTTTGCATGTAATATTTGAGTTGACAATCAAATTTACCTTATCTCTCGCAATCTAGTTGTTTACAAATAATTTGTGTTTGAGTCTCAGCTAAATAGGCCCTTTGTCACAATCTGTCCAGAAAAGATTACCTAAATATTTGGAGAGTATTTTCGCCTTTAGCCTCCGCGTCATAGGCTAGCCTATATATTCATAGCTTCATGGCCAGCATCAGTTATCGAGGTATAGGTATCGATACCTTGAAAATACTAATAGTATTGGCATCGATATCTAAATTGTGGTATCGATCCATCATTAGTGTCGGGTGAAATTCTTGGAAATTTGCTGACGTCAGTTCTACTTTCAGGCACAAGCATCGCCATTGGCCAAAGGCTGATGTTAGGGGACCGTACGCCCTAACCCTCCCCCCCCCCCCCCCCCCCTTAACGTCACACAAAAGACAAGACAATATTATCACAATACCAACATGCCAAACTGGTCACCACGTACAGTGTAGCACCCTGTTCATTTTTTTAGCTTGGGTCATCAAGTTTTGCTCAAGGACACACCTCAGTGACCTACTACCTAAATGCACCGTTGCCAATATTGCTTATAATATAATTATTTGTAAGCCTGATAGCTTGCTAATCATTTATTGTCTACCGATCTGCCACTGAGCCTACAAAACTGGCACAACAGTACTGACCACAGACTAGTGACATAAGCAACATGTGGCTATGGGGAACTCCATTAAATGTTCAATGTCTATAATGTTACAAAGCAGAATTTAAACAAGCCCAAGAAGTCAATTTTCAGGATTTAACTTTGTGTTTCACTTTTGAAGTGGAGTGGACCAGAACCTGTGAAGGTGTTCAGCGGGTGCTCCAAAAAAAAAACAACCAACAAATAAACATGCAAATCATACAAAAACATCACAAAGTATTGAAACTTCTACCTTGAAAACAATTGCAAACACAGCAGTTGGATAAGGCATTCCATTATGAAAGGTACAAAATCGAGCTCGTTCCAACTTAATACTGGAATTTGACTAGAGTCAAACACATTTTTATACGCATATGGCCTACGTCACAGCTCACCAAAGACACTTATTAGCGGCAAAACTTGTTACAAGAAATTAATTTTATAGTGAAAACATTTTTTGTCCTAAAGGTTCTCAAAACATGCGTTCAATAAAGATAGTGTCACGATAAGAAAAACAATGACGGACTTGCTTTTAAAAGCGATAATGCCCCAGCTGTAAACCCTTTAAAATTTGTAGAAAAAAACCTACTTAGATTTTCCATTAGTACTTATTAAGGAAATTTCTAGAATACAGCTTATGGGTGGTTACAAAAATATTGATCTGTTAACCCTATCCCTAAGTCCTGGGTCATTTTGTACCCCCAGGGTTGTATTCTTCACATTTTAGAATACTTCTAGAGCGAAGCTCTCTTTGAAACTTTCAGTATTTCTCAAAAAATAATTTTGACAGACTGCTATGCAAAGCGTATGGATCGGATTAATGAGTAATTTTCTCTTTGGAAAGTGGTGGCATAGAGTTCCCCACGTCGTAAAGATACGATAGTAAAACATGACGTACAGAGGACTAAGACAAATTGATACAAGTCATTGTGTAAAAGCTGGAGAGTTTATGTTTGACAGTTGAAGAAATATTTGACAATAAGTTGCACCACGAATTTTTGACCGCACAATAGTTAATTTTTCAATTCTGGACTGATAATACTTAATTTCTTTTTTTTAATTCACAAAATATCTTAAAATCAGATTTAAAAAATGGAATGATGTTACGTTTCATATGACAAAATCGCAAAATCTTACACCGTAATATTCGGTCTATTGAGCAAACCACAACGACTAAGTCTTTTTTAAATAGGGCTTTTTGCACAAATAAGCTGCACAGGTTTATCAGCAGCAGCAGATTATACAACACAGATATGTACATCACATTTACTAGGTGTCATCATCATCCTGTCCACTGAACCCGCTGAAATCTTCTTCAGTGTAAGAGTTGAACAGATTGAGTACTGTTCAACTTGAAAGTAGCTTCGTAGGCATTTCTTCGCGTTTTCAGCATGATGAGGCTGTATGTTTGAGAAAATTATCTAAATGCTTCAATGAGTGCGGCTTGGATTTAGAATGTGAGCAGTTAGCACTTTAACAGCACTGTAAAAATGTGAAAAGTTAACACGTTAATTGGCACTAACACTTGAACAAGGAGTGTAAATGTGAACAGTTAACATGGAGCAGAGAAAAGATGAGGTAGTGAAGCAATCAGAAAAATCTGCAAACAAGCCACATCAATCATTGTTTAAGCCGCAGGGTTTAAAGCTGAGAAAAAAAATGCGGCTTATAAACCGAACTTTACGACGGTACTTAAAACCAAAAAAACCTGTATGGAACAACCGTCATTTCCAATATAATATAAGCTGAAAAACTTAGTAAATACCTTTCATGTACTGTGCAACAACACTCGGCTGGAGATACTTGTTGAAAGTGTCATACAAGGCCTCCAAAATTGTTGTAATTTGATCATAATTCAAATTCTCAGATGCCATGTCTGCTTCATAGGCTGCGTCTGTAACAGAATGTCATGTTTTTGTGTGAATTATCACAAAATTATTTAACCTTTTCTAAAAGGGTCCCAACTCAGTAATTACATATATACATGATCTATTTCAACAAGTTTTTCATCAAAAACACATCGCACTGCACATTAAAAGTGGATCATTAAGAATTTAAGCTCTTTTTCCTTTCTAGTGTATATTATAAACCATTGCTACTACAGTAGTCTCCGCCTAAGATCCCGGTGCTCGGGAGCAAGGAAATGCAGGATCTTAGGCGAACCGGGATCCAGGGAAGAATCTATGGTGACCCATGTTAAGGCTCACAATCGGTAAAATGATCTCCCTCCACTCTACAATGAACTGACGTGACCGCTTGGTGGGTTTATGACGTATGGCGAGCAAAGAGTGGTTAACCTTGATGACCTATCACGGTGCATAGTGGGATGTGGCGTGCCATTTTCACTTATTATCCTATCATGAGTCTCAAGACCTACGCTTATCCAGTTGCCCCTCCTCTTAACCTGTCAAAAATTTATAGCTTTCCATCTCTGACCGAGTCCCCCCCCTCCCCCCTCCAAACCGCCTTTGTCGTTACACACCATTACGTTGTGAACCCACCAATTAAAATTCAGTCTGTCTCGCAAATTCGGGAGTAGAGACAACTGTTGCAATGGTCAAGGAAGAGTTCACGGTTCGATATGATCCTGCCTGGAGCGAACGTGTAGGCCCTACCCACCCAGCGAGCGATGCAAGTTTAGGTGGCGAGCTCAGTTGTGAGTGCGATGCGTGGGGAAAACAAACGCGTCGGTCAGTTCACACCCCGGTGTGATCCCGTCTGGGGCAAACATTGTATCGTTTCATCGAGTTTTACAACGTGTATGTGATCACATTTACGATAATGGTTATTCTTTGACGCAACGGACAGTTTATTGATCTCAACTTTTCACTCTAGAGACTACTGTATTACTATAGTGACATACAAAATGACTGACTTTCACAATTAAGAAAAACAGCTCAGGTAGGCCTACTTGTACTAACGCTTCATGAACATGTGGAATTAAATTAGTTTCAGTCAAAATTTTAAAATGCAAATAATATAACAAATAGCAAATGTCCATGAAAGGAAACTGAGTCAAAGACACATCAAATTAAATTTTGCTTTCTTATTATGACCAGGTATTATTGATCTAAAGACTAATTCATGGTATCTATATAAAAGTAAAAGTTGCTGAAAACCAGGTAAACCACAGGAAATTATGACATAAGACATTGGGCATTTAGATAACTTCCAAATGCAAAGAACTGGTCATAGTGCTTCGACTTGTTTATCAAGTTATGTCCTTGCCTATGCAAACTTTGCTCAAATTGTGCTGACAGATCTCTGGAAATTTGCGCAAGCAACATAAGACTATTAAGACTACAAAGAAACATTTTCTTATCAAGAGTCCAGGAAGTAACATCAAGTGCAATCAAGTCGGATGATGAACCTTCCAATATCATCCAGGAGCTACTCTTCATGATCCATTCTAACACTAACAACGCAGTAAGCCCGATGGCCTGTCCATTGGCTTTTAACCCGTAGTAATGATGCTTATCCTTTACTTTACAGGTGAAGATGACCTTGACTTCACATCGGGAGGGAAGGGGGGGGGGGGGGGGGGGGGGGGGGGGGGGGGGGGGGAGAGGCGAGTGTGGAGATGGCTGACCAGGCTGACCCTCGCTCGGAAATGTATTTTGCAATGGAGGCACGGGATTGTGGTACTGGATCAGGTTCTTGCAGTCTTTTCTCAGCTGACATCTCAACTGTTCCTTGTACCTGATGCGTCTCTCTTCAAATTCAGCAACTCCACATCCTATTCAGGAGCACCAGACAGGGTCTTGAACATTTTCTTTCCATGTGGTATGGGGAATATCATCTTTTCAGGAATTCCTTCAGCATATATATTATATCTTTGTTCATTGCATTTTTTAAAATCCTACGAATGAGCGTTTGTCTGAAATCAGCTCACAACAGAGTAGTCTCTTAGGAAGGTAAAACTCATCCATGTGATGAATGTGGCCAGCTCACCAGAGCTGAGAATGCAATATGAAGGTATGGATAATATGGATGCTCTCCATCTCAACCCTGAAGTATAACTGATTATATTGACTTGTAAAGAGAAATTCATTGTTTCTGCCAGTCTTCATTGTTGACTCAAAGCAGGCTGTTAATTTCATAAAACTCAAGGCCCCCATCACACACTACTTCATAACAGCCTAATGATACCACCTCTCGGGTGTTTTTATTGTAAGGCTCATTGTTTTTATCGAGCAATTACTAAACTAGACAAACTTAATTTAATGATTCTTTTTTTAAAAATCCATTTTGTTTACTCAAGTAATGAGCCAAAAAAAATGAAACAGTAGTTCGCATCATGTATTTTTGAGCCCTGTGATCTAAACACGGTGGTTTCCATGTAACAGTAACCCCCTTGGCCTTGATAAACACACAAACCTTGGTTGCTCTAGGCGGAGGTTGCTGCAAACTGAAATTTCCAAAGAGGGTATCTACTTCCACCCACCCACCCCCTCACACAAACACACATACAAGAGCACGAGCGCACGCACACACACACGTGATATATATATGTCAGACAATTATAAAAACAAAGGTTGCAGTAATGGGAAAAGATGGCTGTTAAAGTTCAAGGGGGTTACTTATACAAGAAAATTCCATTACACAAAGTTAGGTTCCTGTCAAGCAGAGTTAGCTCTGATCTGAGTATTGTTGTTCAGTGGACACCACAGTACCAGAAAAATATAAAAAGTCACTGAAAATTGAAAAAATAGAAGGCAAAAAGAGACAAACTATACAGGGGCATGCTAGCATCGCTCATTATTCGTTGGATGTTGGTGTCTTGAGAATAGTTGTGTGATGGATTGTTTTTGTGTAGTGGCTCGTTAATGGCCTCTTGCGTTTCTACAAGTTCTTGTCCTTCTTGCTCAATAGACTATTTCGCATATATTTCATTGACAATGACAAGGAAAGCATTGATTATTTAGCTAACCAAGGATTTCTATGAGACAAAGTCATATGTCCTATGTGTGGTGGACTTTGCACATTTTGCCCAAGTCAATATACCTGGCACTGCAGATTCAGCTCTATAATATCAAAAAGTAAAAAAGGGAAATACTGTCAAACCAGTGTAAGACAGCCACTCATTGTCAAAAAGAAAAGTGGCCGTCCTAGACAGGTAGCCATCATTGCCCTGACTGGTCAAAACGAAGAAAAAATACCCTGCCTTTCTGAGGTCCCAACTCGGTGGTGGTTGCAGGTTGTCGAAAGGGTAATTGATTTTTTTTCTTTTGCAAAAAAAAAAGGGGGAGGGGGGGAGGATAAGAAGGGTTGTTGTTATTTTTTGTGTTGTTATGTCAGTTTTCTTTCAGCTGATTTTGTGCACAAAATGTGTCAGACGAGGAAGACTGAGTGCCATGGTAACATAAAAATGTGTTGCCACCTCTCAGCGAACGAGCAACACTTTAGTCGCAAAGTTCATCTTAATGTAGATCTACATTGTTACTGAGGGTAAACAGAACAACTGCTCATTTCACTTATAAAATGATAACGGTAAGGTCAGTTGTGATGCGGGGCTTAGAGGTTATGATGGATCACATATGCTTCCCACACCAGCAACTGAAAATTTGTTACCAACTGGTCAGCTTGCATAAACAGTGGGAGGGCCCAGGGCAACACTATTGGTATTCATTGGAGGTATGAACAACAATGACTGGTGACTATGATGACTTGTCGACAGCATCAGGTTACGAATAATAATTTATGATAAAGCGCCGGGAAATGAGAGATTTGCCTGGCCATCTTAGACAGGTGTTTTGGGTTCTTCGTTGATATAATATAGTGGCCGCGACCACAATGGACAGGTTATGGTTTTACACAGTGCTATAGAAAAAAACACAAGGGGGAAATGGAAATTAAAGAGTCCGTTTATACAGGTGGCCATCACGGCATATTCGACTGTATAGTGAGTTCTCTGTTTTTGTCTACAAGAAAACATTTTAAATTGGTTGCTGCCTCCCCTCCTAGAAGAGTGGACTGTATGTAATACACTTTTTAAATCACTACTGGGATCACAAAACTGGATTGCGTCAAAATATCCAAGAAAACTTCAGTAGAACGGTCATTTTGTTCAAAAGTAACGAACAAGAAGTTTACTAAGCAGAAGGCTAGGTGTACCTGGTGTCCAGACAGAGATTGACGAAATGCTGATAATACGTTGAAAGTGCAAAACAGGTCGGCTTCTTAACCGAATGTATTGAGGCACTCGTGACGCAAACTTTGCTGTTTGCAGGTGCGAGAGATTGTCTAAACACCATTTTGTTATCACACCGCACTGACAGGAGACATTGACGAAAGAAGGATTTAAAGACACCCCTTGGCCTTGGTCACTTCCAATGATATATTTGCCAAGGAACTATAACTATCCTATGTCATGGTATAGAGTGCTGGAAAGTGCACCACAGCCTGAGCCAGCCGCAGTATAATTATAGGCCTATATGATCAGCCATTCAGAAAGTTTTGTTCATGTAGGCCTATAGATCTATGATTATGATGTGTAGATTCTAGGATCTAGATCTAGGCCTACAACATGATTCAACAATCCACACTCAAAATAAAATGGTCGTGGCGGGATTATATTATAATAGCCTATCTATTGACAAAGAGTGGGTGCAAAGCGTTCCCGCATCAGGTCCAAGAAGGCTACAATCTATCCGTGATCTTATATAATTTATATACTTAAGCACGTTAAGTATAATTGCTTCAGTTTTTTCGAGAGCCAAGCCGCTCATCTTTATCCTCCTCATTCGCAAAGACAACAGACAAAAATCCCGAGTTCCATGCAGAGTGATTCTTCATGGGAAGAGTAGGAAGAATTCATGAACCGTGACCCGAGTTTCGAAAAACATTGATTTGCCGCAATTTTCTTGGCCATTTTATGATGATTTTTTAGTTCAGCGCCCAAAATAAATGTAGATCTAGATTCTAGACCTAGAATCTAGATCTAGATCTAGATCTCTAGATTCTAGATCTAGATCTTTTTCGGTAGTTCCCACCCCCCTTTATTTGAGCCTGACCTACATCTAAATCTAGATCTAGATCTAGATTTAGATCTATACGTTTGATTCGCGGTGAGCTAAGATATCAAACCTAACAACTGCAAAACATTAAATTATGGTAAAATTCAGGGAGGCATGCCCCCCTGAAACCCCCCTTCCTATTTTTATTAGCCCTGAAACCGCCCTACTCTTGTGGCCCAAACCCGTGAATAAAATTGCGGGGTGGGAACTACCGAAAAAGCGCCAAAATTGGTGCTTTTGCATGCAGGTCCATAAGTAAAAATTTGCTGAATCAAAAAACTTTGAGAATGATCAGGAATTTCTGACAAAACTTACCGAAGTATTGGCACTGGTCGTAGATCTAATCTAGTCTAGATCTAGAATCTAGATTTAGATCTACGTGCGCCTCAGCAAGAATTTCGGTCAGGCCTTCGGTAACGGAGCAAAAGTCAACGCAAGAGTGGGGTTACTAATCTAGATTCTAGAAAGATCTAGAGTCTAGATCTACTGCCAGTCTGTTGAACACAAAATTGTCTTGTCAGTTGTCCGACTTGGATTACTTGGAAGCCAGTGCATCAAGCTCATCAGTTTTATTCTGAGTAATCCAACGTTTCGGAGAGGCTATAGCCGAGGCCTAGCTAGAGTCTAGATATTATGCCACTTTCAGGACAACTATCCGGACCTGTCAACAAGCGGCTGAAATATTTATAAGATCTAGATCAAGGACAATCAGGTGAAAACGGGAGTACTTCAAACCTCGAAACAAAACCCCAGACAATCAGTAGGCCACGTACTCGAGAATCACGCCTCAAATTTCGGTTTCGGTTTCGAGTCTCGGTTTCAGCTTTTGGTTTTCAAGGGGTCTGTAAGGGCGTTGAACCTAGGTCTAGATCTAGCAAATGAAATGTCCGGGTCCTGGATAACTTTGTTTTTCACGTTCGTTGAGCTTAATTAAATTAAATCATTGTTGGGCTGGCTAATGTGTCGGTCGGGTAGTGGTGGCCAGGTATCGACCTAGGTACTTAGATACCAACAATTATGATACATCATTGCCTCTATAGGTATTGGTATCGGTATCAAAACCTGTTCTAAACATCGATATGTGTGTGAGATTTATCCAAAGATAGTAAATAACTGACTCTTTGATTTATCCCAGGGTTGCCAGAGCTCTTAAGCTGGGCCTTGAGAATTTATTGTTTAACAAAACTGATGAGTTTTCATTTGGGGGGGGGGGGCAAGCTTTTTAAAAGAATCTAGAGATTTTTTTAACAAAATATTGAAGTTTTTCATGAAATCTGTCTCGATCTAGTGATTTTGCAAAATCCTCAATGACAACCCTGATTTATTCTCATTGGTTTAATTTTCTTTATTTTTCCTTCTTCTCTCTTTGGCTTCCATGCTCATCCTCTGCGCTGTCTGTCTGTCTGTCTATCTGCCTCTTTCTCTCTGTCTCACTCTCTATAGCCTTCTCTGTCTGTCTGTCTCTCTGCCTCCTCTCCCCCCCTCTCGATCTCTCAATCTCTCTCTCTCTATC